GAATCGCATTAGCAAGAGGCGTTAACATAATCTGCCACTCGCTGCCTTGGCTGCCAACGACTACAGTATCTTCGTTTTCAACGAAGCGTTCGTAAGGTCGATTCCTTTCGGAGAAGGACCAAAGAACACTCGGATCGCAGTTCATGTATCATTTGTGATTGCACTCTTAAACAACGTTTGTGACTCGACTTTACTTGCCGACTAAAGTCCTTGTACACCGATAAAAAAACGATTCAGGATCTCCTTCTTGGCCGATTAAAAGCGATTATTGTCTTTTGCTGTCACCGTAATTAATTGATGGTCCATCGACGTGTCGTTCTTTGCACCTGCGGGTGCTTTATACGTTTCGACGAGCACTTTAATTACCCGTCCTTGAATACGCCCCAAGTGTAGGCAGCATCGGAGTCGACACTAATAGATCGCTACTAAATTTCTCTCGCTGTCTACTTGGCGCATTTAATTGCTTAGACAGATACCCTCGCCTGTTAGTATCGATTAACTTGTTCGCTTAATGAAGAGTAATTGAACCTTTTGTTTTCACTCTTTTTTTTTCTGCATGTAGCGATGCAGTTCTGAGAATAATCGTGGGCGCCCATGTTCTATTAATTTATTATTCTTTTTCTTTTTTAAGTCATTAATTTTAATTTGTCCTTTCTGCTGGTTCAGAAAATGTTGAGCAATTTGTTAGCGAAAGTGCACGTGGGCTCGATTGTAGCTGCAAATTACCAGTTGTAAAAAAACAAAAAAAGACGTAAAAACAACAGATCGTTTTGCGTCCAGCAGTGGTGGGCCGCAGTGTTAAAAAATTGAATCCGGCGAACAAAAATGAAACCAGATATACACACACAAGCTGAAAGTTAGGTGATGAAGGAAAAAGAAAAGGATGCCTCCGCGTGGGTAGGTCTGACAACTCAATTTTGTACAATAAGGTTTATTTTTACTTCTTTTGCACATAGTAGCGCGGCTCTTATATGCATTTATACATGTACTCCCGTCAAACTCAATCCCTCCACAAAAATTACGCTCGAATTATTTAGAAGACATATAAATATCACGAGCTACACTACTCACTTTAAATAGCTGTTAGGAACGAGCCTTAAACAGCTGCGAGACTCGAAGTTCTCGCAGCCGAAACTACGTCACTGCAGAGGAAGCGCACATACACAAGAAAGGGCCACAAAACATGTTACCCATAATTTTCTTTTTTTTTAATTTTCAGTAAATCTAGAGTGTTGTTGTAAAGGCGATTTTAAAAACCACGTATCATCCTTCGCCTGCAAATGAAGCAGACTCGCGGTAAAGCACGCAGACTCAAGCAGAAAAAAAAAAGACAGAAACAAACAAAACAAATGAAAAAACAACAACAAAAAACACGACGGCGGGAGAGAATGATAGCGGAGAGTGGTCGAGTGCGGGTCCGAGCGAATATAGCGAAAGATTCCTTAGACTCCCGGCTTTCAGCTCGATTACACGTCATGGCCTTCAAATACACTTTCATTCTCGGGCGACCCCTTCTGAGAAACGACTTGCATCCTACCAAAACGAAACGAAAAGAGACATAGAAACAGAGAAAAAAAACAAAAGAAGATGTGGCCGACGGATTTGGAAAAAAGTAGAATGACAGCAGAAAAAAAAAAAATACCAATAATTTGAGAGTAGTGGGGAACGAATAATAACACAACGTAAAAAAGCCCCTATTTTCTTCTCGTCGTTTTATTATTTATTACGAAACACAAAAAAAGGGGAAAACAAATAGCCGAAGTCGGACTGGAGGAAAAAAAAAGGGAAAGGGGTGGGAGTTGAGGGAATTGATAGGTCCCGAGATGGCACGTGAAAAGACGACGGGACTCATTTCCTTAAATAGAAGGGAAAAGCATCGTTTTATGTCGGACGTATTTTTATGTGCCGTTCTTTTTCTTTATGTTTAATCTCAGTTTCATTTATAACCCGAAACACGATGTTGGAGCTGGACTGAAAGAACGAGCGATCTGGCGAAACAGTATCGAACGCGTTCGTTAAATGTTGGGGAGAATGGCTTGTATCCAAAATGTCAGAATGTTTTCGACCGACACCCATCACTTGTCGGTGGAGCCATCGATGTCGTTTTTAACCGGAAAGAGTATCACAACGGCAGAACGTTATCGACGTCGCGAGAAAAGGGTTATTGTCATGCAAGGCGTGCTTTAACGGCCTGCTTGGCCGACGACCGACAGTGAATTTGGGTGAACGAAAGCAATCAGCAAAGCTCCATCGTAGTTTGTGTGCATTCCAATAAAAGATAAAAATAGAAAATTCAATCCTATAATAGCAAAATATGAAACAGAAATATACATAAAAGGTCTCAGGATTTTCGTCCTCCTGAATATCCACAAAATACCTTGTTTTGTATCAATAAAATTTAAATATTTCAATAGTACTATATATAGTTCAATGAACTAAGGACGCAGCCAGGAATTGTTTTCTTATTGTGAATACCCCGAAAAATAGCCTTCCCTTTGGAAAAGAACGTTGTTTTCTTTGTTTTATTTTTAGGCTGAAAGTCATCAGTACAGCGAATTTCTATAGCGCTAAAGAGTTCTTAACTTCTAGATCATCAGCTGAGCTGAGTTGAGTACCGCAATCGTGATTACCTAGGCATACCAACAAAACTCATAAGGGGTAAAAGGGAAGCTTGCTTTCATAAAGAGCTACACAACGCCTCATTTCATTTGCCTCGCGAATGAAACAAAACCACGTGCCATTCTGGAGACCGATAGAGAAAGTATTCATGGCACTAGGTTGCGTTATCTCTTGGTGCTACACTGAAGTGCACAGTTCTGAGCTCTGGGATTACGCGTATGAATGATGATAGCTAATCCAAAAAGAAGAATGTGTTTTTCAGCTGTTAGAGAACATGTTTATATGCGGCCTAGAAACCTGCATCACGGAGATACCTCCCAGAGCTTGTCTGACCATTTCAGACCTCATGCAAGTTTTCATGATGACGTCTTGCTTGCGGCTAGAGAAATTCCTCACAAAAGGTCTTGTGGCCACGATAGTATCCACTCTTTTGTTGTAAAAGGTTGTGCAGGAATTTTAACTCTTTTGCTCGCTCACATATTTACACTGTCCTTTAAACAGTCCACTTTCCCGTAATCCTGGAAAAATGGTGTTGTGATTCCATTACTGAAATCAGAGAGACCTAACTCTGTGGCAAACTATACGCCTATCTCCTTGTTACCGCCATTTTTTTCGTTTTAAGTCTTTGAAAATTATTTTAACATGCATCTATCTGGCATCATCAAGGGAGTCATAGACGAGAATCCGCACTGCTTTATAAGTGGCCGTTCGGTTGCAACTAACCCTTTAGCGTTTTTGAGCGACGTGGCACCAAGCGTTAGCTGACGCGAATAACCCGACACCCTGTGTTTCGATTGCAGTAAGGCATTTGATCTGGTTAGTCCAGAAATTTTACTGTTTATAATATCATTTTTCGACTTAAGTTCTGATTATTGTTCATGATTGTCTAGCTATCTCCAAAATAAGTTGAACTACGTTTCTCATGGAGGTGCAAAGTCACTTTTTTCTCTCTCTCTCTCTCAGTTCCTTCGGGAGTGCCCCGGGGCTCTAACATCGGTCCATTGCTCTTCAATATTTTTGTGAACGGCACTCATAATGTGATACAGCACTACGATGCTTACTTGACTGCATCTTTTTACAAATCGACATCGATGCCATCAGCCAGTGGTGTGTAGATAGCGAACTTGACCTAGATGCTAGGGAATCACGTGGTAACGTTCTCACGCAAAGCTCTCCCCGTTTTCTCATATTACTATCTCGGTACAGCTATTATAACAGGTGTGTCGGTTGTGTGTGACCTAGGTGTAGTGCTTGATGAGAAACTTAACTTCAATAGTCATGTTTGTATGATCCCCTTATCATCTTCTAGAGTGTTGAGTGTTGTCACTCGCCTCAGTTCTGTATTTCGCGACCCATTTTGTTTTTATGTCTTGTTCAGAGGCCTTATTTTGCCAAACCTAGATTTTTCGAAACTTGTTTGTAACAACCTCACTGCCACTGCTGCGGCGACGTTAGAACCAGTCCCAAAGAGATTTGCGAGAAGGCTTCACACTAGACAAAAATTGACTCAGCCCTACTTTTACCAGAATGTACATATTTATGGGGGCTTCACCGAGTAAAAAATCTAGACGAGAAAGTGAAGACCTAACATCTTCGTTCAAGTGCTTGCACGTGTATTATGACTGCTCAATTATAAAATCATAAATCCAGGTTAACGTTCCTGTAAAACATTTTCGCTGCATCCCCGCTGGTTCGCATTCAGAAATTCTTCAATAATATTGACACATCGTTCGTTGACCTTTTCCACTATGACCTCTTGTCGTTCAGGAGGAGCATTCCACTCCCGTTATAGTGTGTTCTTGCAGCGTTGTTTTCTGCGTATTTTTTGTGCACTATCGTAATAAGCCCATGGTTGTTCGCAGGCACAATAAATAAATAAATAAATAAATAAATAAATAAGTAAATAAATAAATAAAATATTCGATAGTTTGGTAAAGACTGAACAACGCGAATGCGAGGTAATTTTGGCCAAGGCGGGTGACGAGAGCTATCCCGTATAAAAAAAGAAGCCTCGTTGTTTTTTTTTTGTTTTTTTTTTTTAATACAGAATGCAGGTGAGACTGAAGGAGAGGAGGAGATGAGAGGGCGTTAGGACGTCAGAACACCGCGCTCTGGTTAGAGTGATCAGTGTGTAGACGCAAATTAGTTGTCTTTCTCTTTTCCCAGTTTGAGCGCGTTCCAACAACGAGTAGATAAAGGCAGCTATAGCTTTGCGTCTATACCCCCTAATCCTTCCAATCAGAGCTCGGTGCTCTCACGTCCCAGGGCGCTTTTATTCCCTCCTCTTCTCAGTTTCCACCCAAAAAGGCTTTTAGAGCATTCTTGAATCCTGCCGGTACAACGGCCTGAGGCCCGGGTGGCCGAGAGAAGGAGTCACTCACTCCTTGATGCCCTCGTGCGGCATGTAGAGGTCGAAGTCCGTGAACTTGATCTGGACACGCTCCTTGCCCTCGCCCTGGAAGTGGTAGTTGCAGCGGGCGTTTTCCGGGTACGGGTTCGGGTACAGCGGGCTCGTGATCGTCCCGTTCTTGGAGCTGTTGCTCATGATCACGTGGTCGCAGCTGCCGTTGCCTGAAGGGGAAAAAAAAAAAGAGCAAAGATACAAATGTTATTGTACGGACGTTTAGAGAACTCTTGCCTCAAAGGTTAGTTCTACGTAAAGCGGGAAAGCACGCACGCACACGCTCACTCGCTTGCGCACATACACACACACACACTCTCTCTCTCTCCCCACAAACTACACCACGTGTTTTGCCCGTTACTCTTCCTTTCAGTTTGTGAACAACGCAGACGACCCCATTCGAGGTTATGAAGTCGCCGAAACATTCACTTTTTTTCCCCTTTTGTTGGCCATGAATAGGATAAGTTACGCAGCAACCGCCGTTGCAAACGACGCAACGGTCGTCAACCACGTCACGTCCCAACCGTCGTTCATAATATGCACACTCGAGGTGGCAACGACAGATACAACGGTGGCGCCAGTTGCCAGGAGGAGACAATCCTATCTATTTCCCGAGGAAAGTCATCCCGCGGCGACAAAACGCCTACTCGAGCGTGGGGACGGCGAATGTTTCACTCCCAATTCGACTCCATTCTCGCGCACAATGGGGGAGGACATAAACGGGTCTCTGCGGTCTCGCGATAATACGAGCACTCGTCTTATTTATCAAATCCACTCCTTACTATGTATAAACGCTGGAAGTGGTGCTCCAAGAAAGCAAGGAAACACACGGTGCTTCTTTAAACCGTCAGAGAACTCCCAAAACTACCGGAAAATATTTTAATGTTATCGGTCACCTTGGCTTTAGCGAAAGCATTGTGAAGGAGGAAAAGATATGTCGTAGGCGTAGATAAGGAGAAGGCCTTTTATATTCAGTGACAGCTAGAGGAACGCCGTGGCTGGTTTTGAGCATTTTATTATAGCGCCTCAGCCAGCAAGGTTGGAGCAATAGCCAACCAGAACGCCGAAGAACGGGTCACGATGCATGAAGCTAGAACAAAAGGAACCAGGTTCCACGTTCCTCGCACTGTAAGTACGTACAGCAAGTTACGACTCTGCATACAAATTATTTGTGTCATTCTTGCCTTCCCAAGAGTAGTCGAGGCCAAACTAGATTTGCTCATCGTGACAGTTCATTCAACTGATGGCCAGACAGGCTTCCCCAGCGAAGCCTTTGCGTAACCCACAAAAACAAAGTTTGCGCAAAAAAAAAAAAAAAACCAAAAAAAAAACAGTTCGCGCAAACCGGAGTCACGCTAACCGCGAGCCAGTGCTGTCCGACCGCGAGAGCACATCACCGAGATGCGTTCTTTCGGCGGCAACCTGTCAGCCGAGACAGGCCTTCGGGGAGAAGGGTGCGAGCTGCCCACCGTGAGATTCGCGCACAATGGAACCAATTGCTCTGCCTAGGAATGGCGAAATGAAGCTCGTGTTCCCGGCGGACAGCCGCCGCTTCCCGGGCGTGGGCGATATACGGCGGCCCGGGGATCTGAAGGAAGGCAGACACGCACACACGCACAGCGTCCGCGCACAAACAAATCACTCATTGTGAGTCTATTGTCGGGCAGACCAAACAGCAATCCCAGACAAGTGCTCCAAATAACGCGGTCTGAGGATATCTAAGGTTCCGTGGCGGAGGGAGGCTACGAATGTGAAAGACCAAGTCCAGAAAAGAAAAAGAAAAATGGTGGACAACCTGTTTTTCTTGTTAGTGTGGGGCTGGATGTATAACTAATGAACCAATGCTGAATTTCTTTAGGAGCTTTTCGAAGAGAATAATAAAAAAAACGTGGGTTATGATTTGTGCTACTCGGGTTTTATGTTCCCATGCCAAGAAAAAGAAAAAAAAAAGAAAGAAAAAGGGCCTAACTGAGGCGGGATGCCGAGTTAGGCTTGTGGAGATTATCTTTCACATGATCTATCAAGTCTTCATTCTAAATATAAACTAAACGGGAACATAACGATATCGTTGCACAAACATGAACAAGATAGCGTACATTCGGTGTTTTTTTTATTTTTGGTTTCCTGGCGAATCTTTTTTTTTTTTTTTTGTGAGAGCATTGAAGTTTTAGTTTAGATACAGGATGTAAATCCGACGCTATTACAATCCAATGGTATGTTACGGTTCTTTATTATAACTGGCAGAAATTTAAAATATTGCGAAGGTTGCCTAAGGAATCCATCCAATGCAAACAAAAATATAGGGTGGTTCAAGTCACCAGGCTCAATCTATGATGGACCATAAAAATCGACGCCTGCACGTATATGCCATCTAGACTTTTCGTCAAATGTGTATTTCACAGGTCGGTTTTTTCTTGTAAAATTACAAAGCGTAGTTCTTTGTTAGTAAAAAATAGGGCCAAGAAACTTGCCAGGGTCTACGGCGGGCGGCGACCCAGACTACCAAGTCCAGTAGCGGGGTGTGTTTGGCGTGTGTATTGATAGATGGCGTCGGGAGCATCGTCTGAAGGTGCAGCCGACCAGCGAAAGATAACAGACGACACGCAGACGAAATAGGCTCCTTGCATTGACGTCACATCGCACAGATTTGCACACCAAGTAAAAGGAGGAGAGGGAAGCTGCTTTTGTAAGAATTTTGAGTGACGGGTTAATCTTCTATAATCTTCTGGGAGGAGAATAGCGACGCCTGTGCAAATCCGGAAGGCACAAAGGAGGGTCCTGATAAGAGGGGAGCTCCTTCTCCCCCTCTTCTCTGGAGGGTATCGGAAATGACGTCATGTGCAAGGTTCCTATACGTTGGCAGCAAAAGCGCCGCCGTTATGCCGACGCGTTTTTTTTTTTTTTTTTACTTTAAGTTTTGCTTTTATTGTTCGCATTTATTTTTAACCGAATGTACATTTCAAAAAGATTATATTAATTTTAATAAACCTCGGTGGTCGCGAGCCATCGTGATAAGGAGGCAGCGCCCTCTATCAACACGAACGCCAAACACACCCCGCTACTGGACCCCTGTCGTCTGCGTCGCTGCCTGCCGTAGACCCTGGCAAGTTTCTTGGCCTTATTTTTTACGGAAACAGAACTACGCTTTGTAATTTTACAAGAAAAAAACCGACCGGTGAAATACACCTTTGACGAAAAGTTTAGATTGCTACGTTCAGACGTCGATTTTTACAGTCCATTTTAGATCGAGCCTGGTGACTTGGACCACCCTATAAATGCTACATCTAAGAATAAAAGATCTTAAAACTTCAGGAATTAGAACTTCAGTAATAAATTCCGGAAGTTCTAATTACGTAGTACTAATGAATATTGAAATATTTCCGTCGACAATTCTTACGGTAAATATATAACAATGTGCGCCGTTGCTCCGCAGATCAACTGCGCACATCGCTAAGCTGCGAAACCTAAGGCTTTTAAACGGCTTTGGAGAAAAAATAGAAATCTAGAAAAAATATCTTTTAAAGAGTTGCGCTGCACCTTTTTACACATTTCAACGCCCTGTGTCTTGCTTCCGCTATTCCATTTGCTACTGTACAATTTTCTGTATAAGATTGTTCTTCGTTTTCATTGCACGAAAACTCTTTGCTCAATGGCTACCGATGGGGCTGAGGGCCAGTCAAGCTTCTTGTTGAAACTTTTTTTCCCTTTTGCTCTTTTGATCAGTGGGCGTGGCGAAACTGCCGTGGAAATGTTGACTAAAATGCTGCCTCTTCTTATCATTTAGGTGCTTCTCTGCAGATTTCTCGCCACGGACAGCGGCAACGTGCTCGATGACGGAAAAATCCCAGCGAAGATTACGATACTAGTGGTGGTTCCTGAGAACGCGCCGACAGCGTCACTGGCTGCGCAAGCGCGCGGAGACGACATCGGAACTCAATCGAACTCTGGCCTGGCACCTTCGCGTAAAACCCTCGACGCTGGTTATAATGACGCCAACTACAACTACAAGCCTCAGTGGGCATGGCGAAACAGTCGTGACAATGTCGACTAAAACGCTGCTTCTTATCGTTCAGGTTGGTAATCAAACATCTTATTACCGCTGAAATGAACTTTGTCTTGTAGTTGCGCCGTGCCCACAAACGGTTCTTCGGAGTGTCAGTGATTGCATAGCCTCCATCAAAATAGCATTGGGGGTATTGGTTGATCTCGAGCAAAATTCTAGGGCAATTACTGTTGACATGTTTGGGGAAAATGAATCAGTAGATGGAAGTTAAAAAAACATTTGTCAAAACATTAGTTGATAGGCCACAGGACATTCTTAAAACGGTTACAGAAGTCAAGGGAAACAGACCTCTGCTGACAAATTCCTTCAGCAGCTTCAGACCAAACTTTGTTCTATCGAAGAAAAACTCTCCGACTCTGGTGAAGCACCAGAGCAGTCCAAGTTCTTCAAAATGAAATAGCCAGTTTACATTCTTAAATGAACTCTCTAGCACTAAAATTTGATTACATTGAAGACCATTTGCGAAAAAATAACCTCATAGCCAGAGGTGTGAAAGAGGAGGACTACGAAACCGAACAAATTTGGCTGAATAAAGTTAATGAAATAAATGTTCAAGATATCCTAGGGACAAAGGCGAACTAAACTGAAAGAATGCACAGACAAGGTAAGAGGCAGTCCAACAAAGACCGGTCAGTTATTATGAAATTCACAGACTTTAGGAAACAGGATGCCGTAATGATATTGGTATATGCTTAAAGGGAGCAAGATAAGTCCGTCCAAGTACTTTTCAAAAAGGCAGCTTGGGATTCACAAGAACCTTTGGATCAGTGCTGCCGAGGAACACAAATAAGGAGCCAAAGTAATGTGGACTTCCCATAAAATTAAGATTAACGCTGTAACTTGCGGGTGAGATGCGAACAGACAGAGTCGTTTTCTCCTCTCTTGGCACCAGTCGTGTGAGCCACGATTGACAAGAAAGGTGCGAATTCACGTTGTTAAACAACACTGCGCGAAGTGTGGTGAACAAGGTGGTTGACCTTGAGAAGTTAATTTTAACTTGCTCTTCCCACGTCATTTTAATGACAGATCTGGTGAAATAAACACATTGCAGATGATGAAGTACTTTCACCTGGTCCCCGTATGCTTTGCAAAGATCGCGATAGGCGATGGGGAGCTGTAGCAGTGATTTTAATGATTATCCAGTGACAAGGTTAGAAACATTCCTGAACTAGAGTACCAGGGGTGGAAGCGGGCTAGAGCCTTTTGTATCAGGGCTGGGAGCAGCAAAAGTCCCACTTTGGAGCAGTTTTGGAGCAGTAAAAGGCTCGCTTTAGAGCAGTTCGTGAGCAGCAAAAATAAGTTTTGTAGCCGTAGAAGTAGGTTTTGGAGCAGGTCACGGAGGTCAAACAAATGTCTAAAAGTGATTTGTTGTTTCTAAATGTGAAAATGTACCAAAAATATATGCATGCACATCCCAGAATAATTTTCAAGCAACATACATACACACCTTTCTATTTCTATTGCATTGAAATATGGAATATTGGCAATTTATGCAAATGAAAGGCTTTGAGAACCATTCCGGCAGCAGGCAGAGTCATGATAGACTGTATATGGGAGGCCCCGACAATAAAAGCCTAGCTTGAGCCACGCCAGTACAAAACCGTCTACTTAATAGACCAATTGTAAACATGTATCCAGAAAACTAAACCACTGCAAGGTGTCAGATAAACTACCTTCGCTGACTACAGTTTTTGTTTAATTAAAAATACAGATGTTCAATCACTACTTAAAAAGCCCTATATCAAGTTTAGTAACAAAATACAAGGCTACTGACATTTGACAAAAATTCAGATGCAAAATAAAATGTGTATTTTATATCTTTAGACTACCACAGTCACACGTACATATGCAGCTTTAAGCATCGACTAGAAGAGCAACGCAACCTTATGTACTCCATAAAATGCTGTGCATTGCGTGTCTCCATAAAAAAACTAAGGTACCACGACATGTCTCAGAATAAAGCAGTCCTTGCTGACCTGTTTTCATTAAATACAAATGTTCTTAATCCCTGTTCATAAAATACAGTGATCCCTACACCCAAGTTAACATACAAAGCTATATCTATATTACTTTGGATGGAATAATATATTGTCTTAAAGATATCACAACCACTAATACATATGCAGCATAAACACTGACTAGAAGAGCCCACAGGCTCCATGTTAAAAAAAAAGGGGTTGTGACTAAGCTGAATCTGTGTAATTTAGAAACAACTGAAGTTCACCTTTTTTTTCACAGTTTGAAGAGCAGAGTCAATTTCTTTTATGCGCTCGAGTACTTTGGGCAGTTTAGAGTCCACATCTCTTAGCAGGAGGTGTCCACTCCCCACCTTGTCCATGTCCTTAACTGCCTCACCCTTGCTTATGAGTTCTTGTGCACTCAGTAGAAGTGCTTTAAGAGAAGACAGTTTGAACGAGACTGAAAATGAGATGTAGCTGATCAGGCGCTGATCCCTGCGGGGCAGGCTGCCTCCTTACGTGAAAAAAAGCCCACCAACTTCTCTCTACCCTACCCAACCCCCCCCCCCAACCAGATACACCTATACCCGAAACTTATACGAGTAGGGTGGCTATAGCAAGTTAAGGTACGTTCTTGACAGGAATCGGCAGCGCGGGAGTGTTGTACGGCATTTCTGATGTCACCCCCACTCCTCCACGCTAAAGGAAAGAAACAAAAAAGTGTGTAGCACTGCCAATTAACCAACTCGCTTAAGATCGCGGGTATTGTTTTCGCTAGTGGTCTGACGGCGGGAGACAACACACGACAGCGTGCACATTCGCGCACACAATGATGGTTTTGGTTTCGTTTTGATAAGACAAATTGAGCTCGAGAACGGATGTGCCTGTGCTCGCGATTCTTCACGGCTAAGCGTCCAAATATGGTAGGCTACCAAATAACAGGTAAAGCTAGTAAAGACCACTTACTTCTGCTCATTTTAACGGCCAAGGTAGCCCACCGGTGCCGAGGCACCAACTCCCACGATCACGGCAAATCGGGACCACGGGCAACTGCATGCGCGCTCCAACCGCGCCAACCAACTATGCCCGAAACCAAACCGATGTGTTCGTATATCAAGCTCTTTGTAGTAAAAAACGACATCGCACTCTCGATGAACTAAAATCGGCGCCTCGCCCTGAGGTTAGACATGGTTCGGAGCCCCAGTCGAGTTGGTACAAGTCACCCGCAGCGACACCTAAGCAAAAGTACACACCACATGGTGGCCCGTGGCCAACCGTTTTCCGCCAAATTTAGAGAAAACACAAAAAAAAAAAAAGTTGAAATTGGCGTTTTGGAGCAGGCTGGCGCAGGGAAGTGAATTGGCGCAGAGTGGCGCAATTGGCGCAGCGCTTCCACCCCTGGAGTACGTATGGGTAAAGGTATCTCCCGCTGAAGTAAGCATAGTGATGGGAGCATATTACCGACCCCTAAGCTCAAATTGCTATTTTCTTTCAAAGTTGAACGAGTATATTATCAACCATAATTTAAGTGAGCGCAACTTTATTCTTACCGGGGACTTCAAGACGCCAGAAATTGATTGGTCATCCACATTTCTAGTGACACTTTCGCCGTGTGCTGAGGTTTTGGTTGACATAACGCGTTTTCACAATTTGACCCAGCTGGTTCAGTCGCTAGATGGCTTGCTTCAGTCGCTATCTAGTGAGTGAAGAAAGAAACATTGGTATGCCTAAGAGCGGCGGCAGCATCATTCAAACGTGAGTTGTTACTCCGGTGGTTCCGCTTAGCCTAGTGTCTGAAGCAAGAAATACTGGGTAGGCCATGGAGCCGTGATCGCATAACATGCCAGTACGGCGGAAGCTACAGCCCTAGCGGGCCAATCGGAACGCGACTACGTATCACCGGAGTGCACTTTTACTACGAAGAAGTATCAGGCTTTTCGTTGTGTCATGCTTCCTCAACTCCAATATGTGTTCGTTGCGCTCGTTTTCGTAGTGCATATCGAAGCCCTCGGCACACAATGTGGGGCCTGTCGTTCACCCTTTGCCATTTTACAACGAGACAAAGTATAACCGTGGGCTCTCTCTTTGATAGCGCTGAAATGCCGTTGCCGGCTGGCTATTCCCTGCCGGTTGACATTGGCGCTAGTGCGTCTCTGTCTTTAATCTTATCTCATATAGAATAAAAAATGTATCTTAGATCGGATAGTAAAGATGTTAAAGTTTTGTTGTACATTCTTTTTTTATTTTATCAGCGCTGTGATTCATTCTATGTTATAGACGCTTTACACACGTGCCAAATTACAGCCGCCATTGCTGACCTTCTCTTGTCTTACCGAAATGCCGAGCAACTGAAACGGTAGTTGACGATCTTCTACAGAGGCCGATGCTTTAGAAAAGGACACAGTTAAAACTAATGTGGCAATAACCTGGCCTGCTATGGTAATGATGAAGTGAAATAAACGAAATAAGAGGAAACAAAAACTGAAGGTCAGTTATGGCGGGGTCCATGCACAGCTGCTGCAAAGCGTCTATATATTCGTCCTGTAGTAGTGGTTTTTCTGAACTCTTATTTTTTCACCGGTGCTGACGGCACAGCACATCGTATTTACATAAAATATTACATACATTGAAGTGCAGCAGAGAGCTGCCGATATATATATTTTTCCTATGATAACAATTTCTTATCTGTGCTTTTTGCCCGTCTGTACGACTCCTGCTACAGCCTAATTAGGCGAGCAGTATTAGTAAAAAATAGAAAAACAAACTTTTTTATAAATGAAACTAAAAATTATTATTATTATTATTATTAAGTCAATTTTTGCAATGTTTGCTGGGAACACTCAAAAGAGGTCGGAAGGTGCAAAAGTTCCAGAGTCTTAAGAATTTAGAAATGTACCAAATATTGCAGTTTAATTGTTTTAGCATAGCTGCGTAGTTTTAAGTCCTCGGTATCTATTTTTACAGTAACCAGTACGACACAAACGTTCAAGCACTTGGAGAAAAGAAAAACGCAATTTGGAGTTTGTTTGTCGGCGCGTCTAGTAAGGGAAATAAATGATTAAAGTACGACAAGTTTGTTCGTAATAGGGTGTTGAGCTGGGTCAGTTAGTATGATGATATGTTGAACATAACAGCGCATCTGTGTTTCTTTCTTTTGTGCGCTGTTACATTGAAGTTGTCCGTTTTACCCTGAATATACTCAACCCTGAAACAAGCCATTCCCGAAATGGCGTCCGAAGCAGCCCACGAAGCATGAGTCGAACCAGAATCGGCTGGGCCAAAATATTCCCGACTTTATTTTTATGATGCTCTAATATGAATTACAGCTTAAGCTTAAAGCTGCGTGAACCATAAAACACAATAACCTGACGGCTCATACCTTCTAGAAACTACAAGGAATCACTTCGCGTTGTAAAAGCAGTGGGTTCAAAACAGTGTGCAATACATTTTCGTTGTCCCATAGGGCCGACGAAAACCCAAAACATGCCAGCATGGGTTGCCCAACCAAACAACGCACCCATAAAAGAAGGTCGGTAATTCTATTATGGACGCCGCAATGCACCTCTGATAACCGGCGTCTCTCATCCATACATGCATGAGGAGCAACAGCCAAATGACAAACAACCCTCCGAAAGTCCCCGTGAGAGGTAAGCGACATTTACGGGCCTCTACCTCGCCTCTGCGATTGCTCTTACATTCCCTAATCAACGATCACCATTCCCGGCACGCCCATCGATAGAGTAGCTAAGTGGGCGCCGGTTCGCGTATGGGTAATGCTGGTGAAGCGAAGCGGGAAGCATTTGGGGGAACTGGGCTCAGTGGCAAGATGGCAGTTGTCTGGATAGTCCTCGGCTTTCTCTGTCAGGGGCTCGAAGTATCTCTCGGGCAAGAGCCCTCGCCGCGGGTTCTGACCCTGCGGAGGGCGACGTCCGAGTTCCGGCGACACCGGGCCCTGACCCCCGAAGCACCCTTCAGGATCGACGGCGTCTCCTGGTGCCTCGCGGCGTGCCTGAGGACCGACACCTGTCGGGCTTTCAACTACGGCGCCCACTTGTGCCAGCTTCTAGACCAGGACCTCTGCTCAGAGTCGGGCCGCAAGCTGGTGCCCAGTCCCACCCTGAGCTACTACGACCTGATGGACAACGCCATGGACGAGCGCTCTGGTCCCCTCTGGAGCACGCCCTTCTGCTCGGAGGACGGCTTCTGCTCGCCCCGCTGCGAGCCGCTCCTCTATCTGCCGCGGCTGAACGAACTTTGCGACAGGGACTTTGAGTGCCACATGCGTACGGGGCCACTGGCGGTCTGCAGACGACGCCTTTGCAAATGCACTCCTGGATACTACATAGAGGGGAATGCCACCTGCGAACAGCTTCCCGCAGAGGGCTACTCGCTGTTCGCGGGTAGCACCGAGGGCTCCTACTTCAAGCTGTCCACCGGCGATGCCAACTTCACTGTGGCGGCCGAAGAGTGCGCCAAGGACGGAGCCACGCTGGCCTACGTGGCCGACGGAGACACCAACCGGTTCCTCAGGGAGCTGATGCGACGCTCTAAGGTACGCGCTGCCTACATCGGTCTCACCGACGAGGTTCAAGAAGGTGCCTGGGTGTGGGTTGCCAACGGACAGCGTCTGAAGACCACCCAGTTTTGGCGGCCAGGAGCGCCGGACAACAGGGACGACGCCGAACACTGCGCGCAGCTGAGCAACGAGATTGACTTCGGCTGGGACGACGTGCAGTGCGGCGTCGAGGGCCGGTTCTTCTGTCAGCTTCCGCACCCGAATTAAGGTCAACCGCGTGCTACTGCTCTCCATGCACGGCTTTGCGTCGCGTAGGTCTCTGGGGGACATGCGCACTGCCTTACTTGGTCCTGCCCCCGATAACGCATCTACCAAAGGAAGGCTTTTGAAATAATAGCACCCGTTTAGACAACCTTAATGGCTTACCACAAAAAGACTACAGCTTAACGAACTCGTTAATGGCTTGACGGTATAAACACAAATGTCAGATTTGTGTCGTCTCATTCAAATCTGTTCAGCACGCGACGTTAGTGTCCTCCGGCTAGGAAATTTTGAGGTTGGATGCGGACCCTACCCTGCCTTGGTCAGGTGGAAAAGAGAAGTAAGCACGCGAGAAGTGGAAATAGGCGTAACTAGCATATTTGCTTCTGTTTTACCAAGACAACAAAATTTTGAAAATATATGGAATAACAAAAGACGCGCTGAATACTTCTAATGGCTAACAGCTGCTTCAGCTTTGCTTGTAGCGTGCCTGACTGTTCAACGAAGTCACCAGCTCTAAAGTATTTATTAACACTCAGAAGTCCGTCAAAATTGAAAGAAAAGTTACAGAAGAACGCTTAAGCTTCGCCTTTAAGAGTGGAACGGGATAGCTAAACACATAAATCCCTGCTCGTTACCAAGCCGTGCAAGCGAGGCCTAGTCGGTAGCGTTTCTTGCTCGCAACCGAAGGGTCGTGGGTTGGAATCCCGCCTCTACCTTAAATTCTTCAAATTTTTTTCTATAAGGATAATGAATTACTTTAAAAAGTGGAATTATGTGAGACTTGCGGCGATCTTTATTTCGTATTACATGTCACGTTTTAATTACCGTCATTCCGTGCGTGACGTAACGATAGACGTGAGCGTTGGGGGCTGTTTGAAATTCCTGCGTGAGGTCATGTGGTCGTGACGTCATGACCCTATCGACCAATCAGGGTTTTCCAGTTCCTCTGACACGACGCCGACGCCGGCTTTTCTGTGGCACGAGCTCCTTAACGCTCTCACGTTAAAACATCTTAACAAACAATTGTTTCGTTTTGAAATCAAAGAGGTCTTCCGTTTCTGCAAACAGTTCATTAGCAATAAGCGTAGGTTCTGCATTAAATGCACTCGAGGCTCGAATACGATATTTATTTCGAAGTAAACACAATGTACCCTGGGAGATGCCAGACAATTTGAATGAGTTGAATAGAATATCTATTGGATGTTAATGGGACCACTGTTTTATTGAGCAAATTGTTTGTCACAAAATGTGTGTAGTAATTAATTGCCTTTATTTTTGACCGAACTCTTATTGCAGTGTCAGCATGTCTGGAGCCCGAATATGTAACCAGTTTCTTTTTCTTTAGTTGTAAACGTTAGGCGCCCGTTTTGCAAATGCGTATAGATGCTTATGTTTTTTGTTTGTTTCCGCACGTGTGTATTTGGGTTGTAACGTCTTAATTGTGATTTTGCACATTTAAAGGTATTTTGTAAAAATTAACTTCAAATAAACTTTTTATGAGCGCGGTTGTAGGTGTTAAAAACCTATTCTTGTTGGTCCATTTAACAAAATAAGACGTGTATAAAGTATGCAACCCATTTATTAGTGAATACAGCTGATGGGCTCCAATATTATAGCATACTCTAGGTGCACTGCTCAGGAGCGTTAATGCAAGAAACAAAGAACCAATGTATAGTCTTGACCAAACCGCCATCCGCAATAAAATACGCTGCGGCAGCTCTGAGATGTTGAGTCTTCAAAAACATTGCATCATTAGTAACAAATTGTACACACACCATTTTAAGGTGTACAGAGCGCTCGATGTAGTTCTATATCTATCGCTCAACTTCTTAGACCGAACTTTAAATAACCCAAAATTATTTAATTGAACTTTTTAAAGCAATATGTGCCGCCACTCGTACAATTGTTGTTCGCTTTAGAGTGAGCCACGCGTGTGAAACTTTACATAATTGCTGTTTTATCGTGCAAGAGTGCATGAGTATGTGAGCATATCCAGAACAGAAGGGTCAGAACCATTTCTATACTTTGACACGACCTTAGGTTATTAGAAATATAATAGTTATCCTCTTGTAACGTCAGATTTTTCAAATCTTTTTATCTCAGTTAAAAAGGGCCCTTTGCTTATTAAAATTTGTACCTTTAATCGACGCACATTAAACAGAAATTGAGGATGTAATATCCAGAATCTTGTTCGCGCTTGACAAACCCCAGAAACGATTTTGCTGCTGTGAAGGAAAGCAAAAGAGAGATAGTCCGACCCATCGGAGACTTCTAATCGTATAAAGCGCACTAATGTATTTGCATACAAAGGCGTCCACGTGAAACCGTAATTTTATTACATATGAAAGAGTTTCGTTAGGACGAGATCCGATTTCCAATTCAACTTGGATTGAATAAGTGTCAAGTAAGTACAAAATATAAATTAGAGAAAGGAAATGACGACAAACCTATGTCAGAAGTCGACATCTTTCCTCGTTTTCAAAAACAACAATAATAATTACAAAAAAAAAAAGAAACGTAGACTGACAGAGCGTATAGTGAGCGAACCAGATCCGAAACCCGATTCCCAATTTTCTCTGAAATAAAACAAAGAAAAACAAGAGAGAGAGAAGAAAAAAAGAGAGACAGAATGAAAGGAAACCACTGCAACACTCATCCCATTTTAGTTCGCCGGACAAGGGCGGCTTTGCGGGAACCTATGTTTTATTCTGACCTCTTTCCACCTTTGTTAGTTTACAATCCCGCGTAACTTGCTCGCTTCTACTTCTTGTGACTTTTCTTCTTTTCATCTTTCTTTTTTTGCTTGGGAACATTGCGAAAAGTTAACTCGCCATGTGCAACGAAATGATAGCTTTATCTTTAATTATATACTGTTCTTTTACACTGCTTATTTATATAAGCTTCGATCATAAAAACGAATAAGCCAGTCACGAGAGAAAACCCATATAGCTGGAAAGTTTGGAAAAGCTGGAGATGCTCCATTTGTCCAACTTTGTAGACAGGCGTACTTTTTAATATGCTTGGTACGTGCAACTACAGTTCCTTATTATTTATATTTTTCTCGTATCCTGCTAACAATCGTAATACTTTCTCGAATTTTTTTTTCTTTTATCATCTACCGACTTTAACGATAGCGTTACTTCCAACTCGGTAGCTTCAGGTGCAAAACATCGTTTTCACCTCTTCCTTTCATATCTTGCGAAACAAACCAGACGTACTAATCCGCAACAAAAAAGAAAACGAAAAAAAAAACAAAAAAAAAAAAAAAACGTGCGCTGCAGTCATTACTTTTCGAGGAAAAAGAGACCCAAACGAAACTTCCACGTTCACTCTTCTGCTCTCTTTGCAGCCCGTTTTTTTTTTTTTTTGCCAAAGAAAAGAAAACGCCTTTTTATAATTGAATTTGATGTTGGATCGAGATACCTGGTTGAGCAAACACTCGCTGTAAAATTACCACGTAGTAGCGGGAACACTCCGGCGTAACCTAAGTGAGGCGCACTGTATACACTCGCCTCGGTAATGTCGGTGCGCCTAAACAAGTTTTCCTTATCTTCGTATTATTATTCGGGACTATACTGTTATTTTACCGGCAATTTCGTAAAATGATCAACAACGTGCCGCTCGCTTCCACCGGCGGTGGGCTTGTCTCTTCCGTCGTGCACTTGACGTGAGGGTGCGCTGTTTTCGAGGTAAACATGTGGCGTTTTAGAACGTCTTTTTTTTAATGTAATTTGCATTTCGTTACGTATTGCTGCAGACTGCGCCTGTAGCGCTTCGTGTCGCTGGTTGTGTCTGGCAGAAAATTCCAAAACGGACTTCGTTCTTTTTTTTTTCTTTTTCTACTTAATCATCGTACCCAGTTGCAGCAACGATTTCGGTTGCTACATGTTGCGAGACAAACATACAAACACACAAAAAATGCATAGCAAATTGCTATGAATTTAGATTACCTTTTGGATGGGGTAAACAAGCTAGTCAGACACGGGTTCTGGGCACCATACAGGTAAGAACACATCTGGGGTGAAGAGAGAGCGCACTCATCAAGTCGTTGGGTAATCAGGTGGTGTTGGCGGCGATGACGTCACCAACTGGCTAATTTCGACACCAGGGGCCCAAGCTACTACCTTTTAAAGATAAGGAATCTATTCGGGATAACGGTTCAAAAAAAAATACTACTTTTCCTTTGGAATACATTTTAGCGCTCAAAAAACAGGGACAAAGAGGCGAGAAACAGACAGCACAGAGCGCACTGTGCTGTCTGTTTCTCGCCTCTTTGTCCCTGTTTTTTGAGCGCTAAAATGTATTCCAAATTCCAAAACCAACTAGCCCAACAATCTACTCTACTTTCCCTGTCCGACAGGATTATTCGGAATCAGTTCGCCTAGAGCGCGGGAAGTTGTTTCGATTTGCAGAGCAGCAAACGTCGCGCCCTTTAAAATTCGATTTGATGAGCTACTAATTAATTACAAGCGCTACATTTTCGATCCGTCTGATGACTGTGTGAAAGTTTTTGAAGTATAGCTGAAACGAAATAAGACTGACAGGAACCCGCCACCACACTACCCGCGGAGCAAAACTAAGAAATCGCAGTCACATTTCGTTACTTTTAGAAACGTTCGAGGCTTTATGCCAAAAAAAAAGAAGAAAAATTTGCAATCTTCTTAGCGACAGCAACTCAGATATTACTATATTTGCAGAAACTTTGTTAATGGCAGCCATTAGTGACGACGAGCTTTGTTATTCGAGTATGAACGTTTCGGTATCTCCATGCCTATGCATCGGCCCCCGCCGCTGTATAGGCGCATCCCTTAGTAGCTGCATCACGGCCAGGTAACTACAAATGCCGGGCAGAGACGTCTTTTTTTTCTGTTAATTCCTACGCTTGGAACATTGCTAATGGGTGCCGTCAAGTTCAGCTTTCGCTGCCGGAGAGTCCGGCCTTTAAGATATACAGTGTGCGGCGCGAAAAAAAATGAAGAAAAAAAAAGGAGCAAGGAAATTCG